TTTTGCAGCCTTGAGCTTAAGAGTGTGTTACACGAGGCATCAATGTAAGATGTACATTAGGGTTATGACTTTTTTAGAACCTCATATGCCGGCATCATATTCTGATAAGTTTCAATTCGATATAAGAAAACCAGTAAAGAAAGTAGTAAAGTCAGACTGGGCCGACTACTATGGGTATATTAAACGAATGCATCCTAACAGATGTGCCATTACCATGAAATTGGATGAACTAAAATATATGACCTTTATCTAAATGTGAACCGACTTAGATCAATCCATAAACATGTCATCCGTTTTTTACAATGGGACAAAATTATGCAAATCTATTTAAAGCAAATATCAAATATATCAAAATGCTAAATTTTGTACGTTGTGCAAAATTTCATGTCAATATTACAAACATGAGGAGTTTGGCGCACCATTTACTTAAAATCGGTTTAAATAGATATGGAAGCTATATACAAATATGAACCGATTTCAACGAAACTTGTTACAGGTTAGGTTGTACTAATTTCAGCAGGTTTTGTTCCTAATGGCCATATTTTGGGTCCTACTTAAAATCGAACGAACATATATATGAGAGCTATATCTAAATCTGAACCGATTTTCAAGAAATTTTACACACATCATTTTAGATTCGATCCAATATGCCATGCCAAATTTCGTGCAAATCGAAATATATAAGAGGACTTTGGTATACCATTTACATTATATTGGGCGAACATATATATTGCATCTATATCTAAATCTGAACCGATTTTTAAGAAGTTTTACACACATCATTCTAGACTCAATTCAGTACGCTATGCCAAATTCCGTGCAAATCGGAAGATATATAGGGACTTGGCATACCATTTACCTAAAATCGGGCGAAACTATATGTGAGAGCTATATCTAAATCTGAACCGATTTTCACGAATCTTAGCACACGTCGTTCTAGACTTAATTCAGTACGCTATGCCAAAATTCGTGGAAATCGAATGATTTTCAGGGACTTTGGTGCAGTATTTACCTAAAATCGGGCGTACCTATATATGGGAGCTATATCTAAATCTGAACCGATTTTCAAGAAATTTCACACACAAACATATGCACAAAGACATAATACGAAGTACCACAGTGCCGTGATAGCTGATGAAGATATATTTTGATCTCTGTTTGTACAATAATCCCTGATGCCATACGGAATCAAATGCCTTTGGAAAGTCGAAGTCCACAGCAATAGTACCTTGTCTATTGTTGAGACGTGTGGGTTGTTCGCGTCGCCTGCCTTCTTTAAGGCAGTATCCTGTATTTGTCTAAACCGCAGGATTTACGTACTGGCCCTCAGGCTAAGCCTCTCCTCACACTACCGGCGCATAGGAATCCACCCTTGTTCCATCGAGTAGCGATATCCAAAAAAGCCCCTTTGGCAGAAAATGTCTTGCTAAATTCAACCAAAGGGGATCAAATTTCCCAGGCACCCGATAAACTGAGCCACCTGAAATTTTCAACCAATCCCCTATACGACAGCGAAACACTTTGCACACGTTTTGCCAAACCTTCAGCCTTTTCACCGTGATCCGTTAAAAATCGGCCTGAAATACCGATTAACTGACCTACAGATTCTTTAGTTTCCAGTCCAACAGCCCTTTTGACTTGAGACTTTCTGGTTCGAAGAGTCCCACAGAATTCTCAATAATGTTGTCCATAGTTACAAACAAATGCACAATAACAATTCCCTATACGATGTACAAATTTCAATAGACTGTTTCGAAAATATTTTCAATAAAGCTAATTGGAAACATTAACATTTTCTTAGTAAATATATTCGTGTGCGTGCATTTTAAAACAAAGTGGCAAAATATATGAAAAAGTTGCTCTAAATTTCAAAAAGTGGAAATTTGGTATCGAAATAAATATTTTCTTAGGGGCTCGTATAATATTCATTATTTAATTACAATGTGAACAGTGACGATAAATACCACACAGTTTGAAAGTCTAAGATACTATTAAAATTTTGCATTAATGTCTCATGATATGCCGATCGATTTGAAGGTTGGATTATTTTGCTGAATTAAATTACTCACATTCGGTTTGATATTCAGTATATTCAATATTTGAGTTACATATTCAACAGTTATCTGCAAAATATAATTTTTATAACAATTTTATACAGGTCATTTCAAAGGCGACTAACTGAACAATGTGATCTGTCAACAGTAGCATTATGTTTCGACTTCAATATTTTGTAAAACATTAATGCCAGTCGTTCGTATTGGAATTTTTTCCTTTCTTTCTTTCATTCTTCAGATTTTTTTTCTCTTTATGAAAGTCGTGAACTAGTTAATTGTAATTGTTAGTTTTCTCTATTGTCTGTTGTCTCCATCCACACCATTGTTACATTCTTTGGGGTTTCTCATAAAAATTATGACTTTGTTTTTGTGCGTGTTTCAATTGAATTGAAAGAAACCAAAAAAAGATTACGTATGTAGATCATTTTTATTTTGAATATGTCTTTTTTAGGTTTTGCAAAATAAGAAAGTTATTAAAAATATATATAACAATAGACACACACACACCATCTACATTCACTGGTCAAATAAAATGGGAATTAAATACAAATTAAGGGTGGCTGTAGTTTTTTTGAATTTCAATTTGGTGTACTTTTGTATATTTCAAGCAAACTGCCATTGAGTGATTTACTGAAATTGTTGACTCTATACAATTATGTAGATTTCGTGGTGGATTAAAAAATAAAAACGACATAACCTTTCACTTCTATTATGATATGAAAAATATGATTGGAATGTTAGGTCGCATTTATCTGAAACGCCCACAACATTATGTTGAAAAATCAGAGCACAAAATTTGTAGGCTGTCGGATTTTAAAACATTTTAATGAAACTGTACATTTAAAATATCGTTCTTTAAATTGTAGTAGTAGTTTACAACATAAAATGGTGTCTGGTGTACATAATTTACTAAATTCATCGAGTCATAATTTCACTGCATCGATGAGCCTTACCCCTTGTACAAGTATGACGATAAAACACCATGCTATAACATTGAAAAGTACGAGCGATAAAAAGGTTAACAAACATATATTTTCCGTCCAAACCAGGACTAACGGCCAGAAAGGTTCTGCTATATATCTGGTGGGACTGGAAAGGGATTATTTATTATGAGTTGCTTCCATATGATCAAACGATAAGTTCTGATCACTACTGTCAACAACTGGACCGTTTGAAAATAGCAATTGACCAGAAACGGCCAGAATTGGCCAACAGGAGAGGTGTCGCGTTGCACCTAGGCCACATATAATTACAGTTACCCGCCAGAAACTTCGGGAGCTTGGTTGGGAAGTTTTAAGGCATCCGCCATACAGTCCGGACTTGGCACCAAGTGATTATCATCTTTTTCTTGCATTGCTAAATTTCTTTAATGATAAAAAAGGAGGATTGTAAAAATCGACTACTATAAGTTTTTTGTAAATGGAGAGCAGGACTTCTATGAGAAATTCATTATGAAGTTACCTTTAAAATGGCAACAAATCATACAACATAACGGTGCATATTGGGCCCAAATTGGACATTCCAAAGCCAGTTAAATAAAGTCCTATAGTTCATATAAAAATCAATGATTTCTTTTTCCTATAACCTAACCCAAACATTGAGCTTCTTTTTTAATCCAGCTTTGTATAAATGGTTTAAAACAGTTTTATGGCCGATTTTTAGCTCCTGAACGATGTTACGACTGCTAGCATGCCGGTCAACTTCGATCATTTCTCCAATTTTTGTCGACATGTTCATAACGGATTTCTTATATACATATATATATATATATATATTTGGTTTATTTACTCTTCAAACAATAAGTTTGACAGTCTATGAAAACTTTTAATTCGCCTCCTGGCGAATTGTAATTGTAATATATAATGTATATCTCGTTATACATTTTTAACAATTTTAGTAGAATAAATTTTTATTAAGGGGGACCTCCCCCATTCTCGATTTTAAATTTTTAAAGCCTGTATCCTAGTTCATACGATAGCTATACATTCCCAGAGAAAGGTGTCAAAATTTGGCACCGATTCGCCATTGTAAAAGCTCTGCTTCGAGAAAAATGCGTTTAAAGTTTGAGAATCACTCTTGCCGTCACTTGATGCTGACTCAATAAATCGACTATATCTTCAAGAGTTTCTGAGATTTTCACTTGAAAAGGAATCGAATTAAACTAAAAACTAAATTAAATGTTTTGACACCGAGAATAGCCCCCCTATTCTCCCCTTAAAAAATAAAGCTTCTACTCGATTACTTTTTAATAATAGTATTTTTGGGGAATATTCAACATTCGCCATGCCACTAAATTCGGTTATTTTATATTAAAATAAATCGTACATGTATTATTTAATTTTGTATTATTATACAATCTATTAAATATAAAAGCAACAACAACGTTTTATCTACAAATTCCGGTAAGGTGACTATCACAGAATATTAATTACCTTGTGACGAAAGCGGCAACAGAAAGAACGCTTAATTTTGGCAGTATTTTAACTATTAACTAAAACAAAAATTAAAACTAAATAAAGAAGCAGCAGCAACAACAACAGCTATCACTTTCAATACCTCTTGGCTGATATGAATCACTAAAGAAGCGATACCATATTTAAACTATTTCGTATAAAAACAAAACTATGAAAAAATCCAAAATCCAAATTAAATTTATACAATAATCATTTTCTTTGTTTTTTTATTGTTTACTTTTCAGATTCAAAATGTTGTGATACCAAAAAAAAATATTTTAAAGAAAAATTCAACGACCTCAGCTTATTTTTGTTTAACGAAAAAAAAAAAAATAAAATAAATAATAAAATTCATATCCATGCTCGTGTGAAACAAAATAAAAGTGATAATAGTATTTGTAATTTTAAGTTATATCCACGAATGTGTTTCATTAAATCCCCAAACGCCTAATATTTGCAATCCAGCACGATATGTTCTGCAACAGTAACAACAGATCGCAAAGTCAATTATATGGCAAGGCGTTCTCTCTTAAAGTGTGGTTAAGTTTAGCTGTAATACTTTTAGTTTTGTTGGATGTCAATTGTTATGGTAAGTATTTGCAATTTTTTTTCAAAATAAAAAAAAATACCCATAAAAAGATTATTTTATTCTCTGCTTTAGATTAATGGCTAACAAATAATTACCATCAAATTATTTATTTTCACAAAGTCAAGTTTGCCAAAAATACGAAAACGTAACATTTAAACATTCAAGTGTTATTCGCAAATAAAAATGTACTTCTTTGTCGCACTTTTTCAAAAAAGGCAAAACCAATCCAAAACGACCACCATAGTAATGCCTAACTCTCAAAATTTGACTCAAATAGACCATAATTGGTTCATAAATCCAATTAGTTTCAGTTTCTGTTGATTCTTTTATATGGGTTTGTTTTCCTTTTTTTTAACTTGCAGCTATGCTCAAAGCCAACTTCAAACATTCGCTATTCTCTTGCCGATACGAATGATTTTTTTTTTCTTGGTTCACTCATAACGAATTGAAATTATCTTTGCAGTCCGGTTCGCGTCATAATGCAAAGATTGATCGATCGATCGTTTGATCGATCCTAACCGAATTGAATATGCAGTCGGTTTTTCGTTTTTTATTCGTTCGTTGCCAATTAACAATTACAAATAATGAACAATTCGTCGTTGGCGTACAAAACTAACAAAAAACAGTTCAACAAAAAATCCATCGAAATGAAAAATGCGTTTTTTGTACGATCATTACTTTTAATTAAAACAAATAATTTAGTTTATGTTGTTCTAGCAGCTCCATGTTGGGGCTTTAAAGTTGAACTCACTGCCGAATAGGTTAAAACGACATTTTAATTAAATTCTTTGCAAAGAAACTTTATTTGTTGCGGACAATGGCGTAGTTAATCTATTTTCATGGGGCTAGATGCTGTAATATACGGTAAATTTCAAAAGCTATAGGAAAGTTAAAAAAACACATGCAATTCTAAAAAATTTATGAATTTGAATGAATGTATGGTCTAAATAATTCAATTTTTGACGATTATTTCATGTAAATGTTTACCGCGACAGCGCACTGTGGTCGATTTTAAGGCGGCCAACAATATTTTTGGACCCTAATGGCTTAAAAAAATGTATTAATTTAACAAAATAAATAAGAACAAGTGAAAAAGCGTTAAGTTCGGCCGGGCCGAACTTTGGATACCCTCCACCATAGTTATACTGACATGCAGTGAAAATATAGGGAACATACCAAAAAGTGGGCATATACCGATAATTCTACAAACCGATTTATGTAAACCATTATGTACACCAAATTCAAACTACAGCAATTTTTATGGGGATTTTTCCTAAAATCTGTAAGATCCAAAAAGTGTACTGATACTGATAACGCATGGTAGAATATAAAATCCCTAAACTAATGTAATTTAGATTACAAAGTTATATGAGGCTATACCTACAGGGGGACCAATATTGATTACATAGTGTAGGAAATAGTGAATATTTGGGAATATCATTATATGAGTGCTATCCCCATTTAATGGCCTGTATATGCCGATTTTGAAGCCAATATTTTAATTGTTTATCTCAATTCTTTCCTTCAGGAGGTATCACTATGTTGAGGAGATGCCTAAATATCTGCCGATTTAATTCATTATCGTCATGTTTGAGTTTTTTTTTATCACAATATCTTTAAAAGGCGGAATACTTACAACAGATGGCTAAATAGTATTTGTAGGGTAAAAATTGACTATTCCCCGTAACGACTACCCAACCGCAACACACCGGACAAATCAGATAACTATTTTAATATATATGAGGACTACCCCTAAAAAGGGGTGAATATTAATATTTTTGGTGGGGATATTTGTTACCATATACGACTACAAAATACCAAATTTCAGCGAATTCGGTTGAAAAACTCGCTGAAGAACCTTAAAATATCGAAAATTGGGAATACCATTATGTGGGGGCTACCCGAAAAAATTGACCTATATTCATAATTTTTTGTGGAGATATTTGCGTTTTTTTTTTCTTTCTTCAGCAGCCTCTTCTGACAATTGACCGATTGGCATATAATGGTCGTCTCATGTAATAGTAATTTATGCATTGTTGGAGCCATGAGATGCCAGTCTTATAATTCCACTATGCGGCGTTGAAGGCATATTCTTTGAATTTGGGTGTATGTATTTATTTTGTGTCCACTTAAATCGAATTTTATATTCTTTGCCATCATTGAATGATAATTCTTTGCCATCATTGATATTACCTAAATTGGCTTAAGGCATGTCCACCAACAGCCCAGTTTCTAAGAATCTTTCTTCGGTTTTTTATTTCCTTTCTGCTTCTAATGCTTTCCCTCCCCTTCGTTCTATCCAAAAATGATTTGCCCGGACAACCCGGTTAATTAAAGTGTTTTACAGCAACTTCTGGTTGTTTTTCATAAAAACGTCTCCAGATTTATGAGCTTTAAGGCATCTCTGTTTAAATTCGTGTTTATTGAAGGAACATTTATGCTTAAGACTCTTTTTCTTTCCACAGTGTCTCCACAAGACTATATCAAGTGGTTTTCTGTTTACTATACCTATAATTCAATATTTTTGTCTACCTAGTACTCAGAATTTTGGACCTTTGGCGGCTTAATTACTCAATATCTATCTATGTGCAGCGTCTCAAATGATCCATCCGCTTAATACAGTTTTGTCATACTCTTTCTACTTCCATAATCTGTATCAAACATTATCTTTTTATACCCTTCACCTCACTGAGGTATAATATTGGTTCGATGTAGACAAAATTTTGCACAGAGTACTGAAATAGGTCCTGATTGATGTATGCAAACTTTTGTTTGAATCGGTTCAGATTAAGATATAGTTCCCATATATTGTTTCGTCCGATTTTATGTAAATGAAGCACCATACCGCCAATATTTGTCCGATTGAGTCAAAATTCTTCAGTGCGTACTGAATTAGGTGCTGAATACAAATTTGTGGGTATTTACTATATTGGGTAGTGGGTATAAACTCATTAACTGGCGAAACATTTTACATAGGCGGCCAAAATGTGGTTCACATGTTTTTAATGTCAAAACTAATACTGGTATGGAAAATGGGGTCTCTGGTCCATGTTAGATTTAGCCTCCATATTACCGTACCTTCCGATTTTAGGTAATTTTTCTATTAGCCACATTTAAAAATCAAATTGACTGTAATTTGGCACAGATCGCACAAATGATTGACATTCAATTTTACATAAATTTCAGTATTTCTCACTCTCATTTCAATGGTCCTGCAATGCTATGTCAATTATATTTACCAGATTTTGTATATATGACCATCTATTGTATGTTCCCAAAGTGGTGAAGGGTATCATATAGTCGGCTCCGCCCGACTTTTGAAATTTTTTGGCCAATCTTCATTCTGAAATCGACAATTCTGTATATTAACGTACACAATGAGCCAAATCGTACACAATGAGCCTTCTTTCACCAGTTATATTTTGGAAGGCTTTAATCCGTTCCGTCAAATTTCTTGATGTTCGACGATTTTTCTGGTGAAAAAAATCGCTGATTTCAGCCTATCTATTAGAGCTTACATTGTCATAGTCCATAATGAACCACAAACAATCCAACGTATTAATTTGTTCAAGTGTAACAGTTGTCACATGACTTTTGCCCAAGAAACAGCCGACCAATTACTAAAAAGTTGTCCATGAACAACTTTCGCTGGATTGTCACGCCTTCGAAAATACACACGGTCGATTGCTATTTATTTTTAGGTTTATACGCATATATTCATAACTCGTGACGTATTATGTATTTTAAACAATTCGGATCGTATCTTTCCTATATCAAAATGTGTGGTATCTAAACAGAACAAACCTTTTTCACGGCCAGGTGCTCATGCAATATCAAAATATTTGGTGGGTTCATCGGTGCACTCTTGTCGGGATATTTAATTCACATCGAAAGTTGTGAAAAATAATCGAACGAAAATTGTAATCGGTTAATTAAATTTTTTTTGTAAAATTGATTTTTCAAGTAAATACAACACGATCACCACTATATGTATTCGAAACTAAACGAATTTATCCGTCCACCTTAAACTGGAGTGTACATATAGTCAAGTACGAAGCAATATAAACGGTGGGTCCGACCATTAGATACCATACACAACTACTACTGTTCTCTAAGATTCTATCTTGTCCGATTAGAGATCAACGGCTCCTCTGTGGCATGTTTTACGATTCATGTTTTCCCGGAGTAAATACTAGATTTAAATGTTATTTTAAAGAAAAATCTATATTGGTCATTCATTATTATGACAACCATTCAAATTAGTTGGATGCATCGCTTTCCCCATTGAAAATTTTTGATCTTCGGCTTACAACTGTGACGTCTAGAGCGACTAGATAACCAGAAAAAACGTTTTCGGATCATTTCATCACCGAAATATAATCTGATCATTATCGAAAATTATATGCATCGACTATTATCGAAACCGCATGAAAAATTAGTAGCCACCAGCCTTACATTTTCGTCCTATAGAGTGGTAATGTAATACCTGTAAGTATTTAAGTGTGACTCCCACATCCGAGTAATAAAACAATAGCATTGGTATCAATTTATAATTTATGAGTGGTTGACACATCTTGGATATACTATTAACATCTCGAGTCTATGTCGTTCAGGAGTAAATATATACGGCATAGAATACAAAGATTGTCGCTAAATATTGACCAATTATCCGTGTAAACGATGTTCCGGTCATACTCGTAATAGTGACCTCTACAGCAACCAAAAAAAAAAATAAATAAATAAAGTTTTGGTCCATATACTTTTGAAATATTCACATAGATTGGTACTACAACTAAGATATTTAATATTGATTGTGAACTCCCAACCGAAGGTTCTGAAATTTTCCATTTGAGGGTAATAAACTTATATAGGTATAGATCCATGTGTTTGACATATACCTCATGTAAAAGCCCCGATTCTTGTTTATCTTAAGTTATGTTTTAAAAAACCAGTTCCATTAATATAAATCTCTATATTCTATACACTGTTAGAATATATAT